GGTGTAGATACATGCATACATGTACATGCAAAGCTATTATACACATAAAATATTATTGAAAATAAATAACATGTACATTATTATCCCATCTATGTAAATAAGAAGAATCATATTTATTTAACCATTCCATAGATATTTATCAATGTGCCAAGCACTGATCTAGACTCTGAGGACATAGGGACCAGCGAAGTAGACAAGGTTCTGTTTCCAGAGATCCTGTGTGGGGAAGGAGGAGAAATAATACATTTAACTTATTTTTTAAATATAACTAATTTATTTTCAATAAAAATTTTTTAAACAAAGCAAGGTAACAATGGGAGCAGAGAAGATAAAAAAAAACAAGACTGGAAGTTACAAACCCAATCTCCAGGCCAAATAGGGCCTACAGAAACCTGATGGTAGCCCTCCCTGGCTTCACTTCCTACCTCGCCCCAGGAAGGCCCTTTCTGCAAGAAGCTGTTTGCGTGTGGCTTTGTTGTTATTCATTTTCATTTTGTTTCTATGAGACAAGATTGTGCTATGTAGCCCAGACTGGCCTTGAACTCAGCAATCTTCCGGCTTCAGCCTCTAGAGTGCTGGGAGTACAGGCACATGCCACTACACCTGACTTTAGTGTGTTAGATTCTTCCTGGCTTGATCCAGAAATATAATGTTGGCACTATAAAAATTTCTTGTGGAAAATTCACTGTCGAGTTTACTGTGGAGATTTAAATAATTAAGGAAAAGTCTTTCAAAAAGAAGCACCTGGGTGGTGTCTGCTAGTGGCGGCAGCGGTGACAGTGCATGACTTTAATCCAGCACTCAGTGGAGGACTTTAATCCCAGAACTCCCGAGACAGAGACAGGTGGATCTCAGAGTCACAGACCAGCCTGGTCTACAGAGTGAGTGAGTTCTAGGACAGCCAAGGCTACTCAGAGAAACCCTGTCTTGGGAAAAAGAGGAAAAAAAAAAAAAAGAAGAGGCAAAAATAGACATGTTGAAGACCCATCCATCTAATTTTATTGAAATACTATTCAGACCGGCTGGCCACCAACAGATAAACGGACAGAGAAAAGGTAACGAGTTTCCACAATGGAGTTTTGTGCAGCCAGAAAGAAGAATCAACTTATGAATTTTGCAAGAAAATGGATGCAAACAGAAATCACAGTATTAATTGAAATAAGACAAATTAAGAATACAAGTAATATGTTTCTCTCATCTCTGGACATATATATATATAGATATATTAAATCATATATGTATATATAAGTATATACATTAAAAGTAGAAGCAAGGCTGGGGAAACAAATGGAAATGATCAAGGGGAGAAATGGAAAGGAAGTAGAAATTGTTCAAAATGTCTTTGTGTGTCTACATATGTGTGGGTATTCAAGTGTGTGACAGAGGTCCATGTCAGGTATGTTCTGCTATTGTTTTCCACCTTATTTTTTTTCATATAGAATCTCACAGTGAAACTGGAGCTCATGGATTGGTTAGACTGCTGGCCAGCAAGCTCCAGGGATCCTCCTGTCTCCACCTTTTAGCACCTGGATAACAGCCCCATACAGTCCATGGGTGCATGGGCACTTTACTGAGAACTATTTCCCCAGCCTCAAAAAAAAAAAAAAAAAAAAAGAAGGCTCTGTGAACCCACTCCATGTACAATGACGATATGACAATAAAAATCATCAAACTAAAGCTGGGTGTGGTGGCACGCTTGAGAGGCAGACTCAGGAAGATCTTTGTGAATTTGAGGCCAGCCTGGTCTACATAATGATTTCCAGGACAGCCAGGCTACACAGAGAGACCCTGTGTCAAACAAGCAAACAAATATATGTGTTTATTTACAAAGTTTTACACACACACACACACACACACACACACACACACACACTCCAAAAACAGAAAAAGGAGACAATGCATACATCATCACACAGCAAAATCTATTACAAATCAAGAATCATTAAAGTGGTGTGATTCTGAAAGGAGAGCCTCGAAGCCGAGCCACATGCCCTCAGGGATCCTGAATGTTCTACAAAGATGGCATTTCAAATTAGTTGGAGGAAAGACAGGCCTGTTAAAGACATGGGCCTTGGACAGTTAGCTCATTGTTTGGAATAAGGAGATCCATCTGACATTGCATGCAGTACCAAATTAATATTTAAATGTGAAAAACAGAGCTTCAAAAATCAAAGAAACACACACACACACACACACACACACACACACACACACACACACACTCAGAGCAAAGCAACGAGCAGTTATGGTATGGCTGTGCAAATGCTTTTGTAGGGAGTGAATGAGTTAAGCACAGACCTGGAGAACGGACTCATAACGTCTAGGATCAGAAAGCACCAAGCTGCTCAAGGCCAGGGCCAAAGCTCGCAGCACAGTGGAAAACTGAACAAATTACTCAGAGAAGAGGAAACACAAGTGGTTAATTATAATGAAAAGTGTCGGGTGGAGAGATAGTTCAGTGACTGAGCACAGTCCGATCTTGAAGAAGACAGGGGTTTGAGTCCCAGAACTACATGGCAGCTCACAGCTGTCTAGGACACTGGTTCCAGGTTATCTGACGCCCTCTTCTGACCTCCATGGGCGCTGCACATACATGTGGTTCACAGACACAAATGCAGAAAAAGACACTCACACACATAAAGTAAAAATAAGCAAATCTTTAAAAATAAAAGAAAATGGGAACACGCGGAGACTCACATGTAAGTCAGAGAAGGGACCAGGAGCAGCTTGAAGGTCCTTGGGATTTTTGTAACAACAAACAACGTTTTTCTCAGATTAGGAAAACTACTGGCCAGAGTCAGAGTAATTAGGTTCTCGGAAGCTGCTAATAGAAACACAAATGGATACAATATGAAAAGTTGGGGCGGGGGAGGCGCTACGGCAGCCCTATTCACAATAGGCAAGATATGGGATCTGCAGAGGTGTCCGTCAACAGATGAGCAGAAAAACAGAATGTGGTAACACAATGGAGTTTTATTCAGCCATAAAGAAGAACTAAATTGGAGGCTGGTGAGAGCTCAGTGGGTTAAAGCATTTGCCTCAGAGACTGGTGACCCGGTTTCCATCTCCTGGATCCACACAGTGCAGACTCACACAAAGTTGTCCTTTGACCTCCATACAAGTGCCGTGGCTTACCACTCATGCACACAGAGATTTAAACATGGATTTTTTTAAACTAGAGAAGTCATTTGCTAGAGAATAGGTGCAAGTGGAGGTTATTGTACTAGCTGAAGTTCAATGAAATAAGACAGAATCAGAAAGATAAAAAAACATGTGCTCTCTCACACATTGGAGTCCTAGAATTGTTGAGGGACATTGAAAATCATGTATGTATGTGTAAACACACACACACACACACACTCTCTCTCTCTTTCTTACACGCACACACACAAACACACACACACCATAAAAGCAGAAGAAAAACAAGAGGAAATGGCGGGGGGGGGGGGGGGGGGGGGGAGGGAGAGGAAACTGATTGTGTACTGGAGAGCCATTGTCTGTACGAAACAAATAACATAAAATCAATACAATCAATAAACAAACAACAATAAATATGTGAGCCCTCCTAGAACCCTTGAACATTTTCTTTCCCAAAGAAATACTGTAATTTGATGAGGTCAATCCACCATAATGTAATTTCATTAAAAAAACAAACAAACAAAAAATATGTTGAAAGTTTGATAATAGAATGGCTGAAGAAACCAGTGAGCCTTTGACAACTCTGGAGCCATTAGTAAGAATGAGGGAGACTAGCGCCCGGCCTGCTGAGGGCTTGTTCGTGAGGTTGCCTGTTCCTTTCCATCTTGCTGAGCCCGCCGAAGAGTCGCCATGAGCAAGGCCCACCCTCCCAAACTGAAGAAATTTATGGACAAGAAGTTATCATTGAAGTTAAATGGTGGCAGACACGTACAAGGAATACTCCGGGGCTTTGATCCCTTTGTGAATCTTGTGATTGACGAGTGTGTGAGAATAACGTCAGCATGGCGGTCATACGAGGAAACAGCATCATCATGTTAGAAGCCTTGGAAAGAGTCTAAGCAATGGCTGCTCAGCAGAGGAGTTCACATCCTTCTCCAAAGGACTGTTTGACTGGGGTGTATAATTGGGTCATGTACATTTTCATAAGAAACTTTTTGCTAAATAAACCTTTGGGATACTCAAAAAAAAAAAAAAAAAAAGAATGAGGAATGTCTTGTTTTATTATCTGGGTGGACATTCACCAGATACTGTCAATAGCAAGTACATGTGAGGTTGTGTATGTATGTATATATGTGTGTGTATGTATGTATGTATCTGTGTGTGTATGTATATATGAATGTATGCATGTGTATGTATGTGCGTATGTATATATGTGTGTATGTATGCATGTGTGTATGTATGTGTGTGTGTATGTATGTATGTATGTGTGTGTGTGTGTATGTATGTATGTATGTGTGTGTGTGTATGTATGTATGTACGTATTTGTAGAGTAAACTCCTACCTACACAGTAGCAAGTCTGGCAGGGAAACCACCTCCCCTTCTGTTCCCTTTGGGGACTAGAAGTTGATCAGAGAAGAAAAATTTCTCCAACCACCCTTTTATAATTTTTTGAAGTATTTAGTTTGCTTTGAAGACAAAATAATTTTCCCCCAGTACTAAGGAAGGCACCAAGCACCTTGAGCAAACAGGACAAGCGCCCTCCCACAGTCCTCCCAACCTCCCCTCCCCCACCTATCAGGCAACTCCTAAGATGTCTGTTTGTGTGCTTATTCAAGGATTCAAGTAAATGCAGATCAATGTTTAGTTAAGAATTTCTTAAAACAATGCAGTTTAACAACTATTAACATAGCATTTGCATAACAACTAGTAACATAGCATAGCATGTTACTGGTGATGAAAAAAAAAAATGCCAGGAAGGTGTGTATGGGCAATGAGTGTGCCTAGCACCCTTTTCTTTTCTCTTCCTTCTTCCTGCCTCCCTCCCTTCCTCCCTCCCTCCCTTCCTTCCAACTGTCTGACCTTTCATATGGAAAGCTTCACACACTTGTGTGTCATCTTCTCATAGGGGCCATGCTAATCTTCTCTGTATGGTTCCAATTTTTGTATGTGTGCTGCTGAAGCAACACCCAGCACCACTGTCTCTGAGTGAGTTGAGTGTTTCATGGGCTTGTGTGGAATGGACTGATCCGTCCACAGATTCAGCATTTCCACATTCCCACTCCCTTCCTTCCCCTCTCCATTTCTAATCAGGAACTACAATTTAGAATCCCCAAAGGAGACAACCATTAGATGTGATGACAGTTTCAATTTCGCTTCTCCAACAAAATAAAACTCAGAATGATTTTTAAAAAGAGAAAGACCTGAGGGATGTCTGCAACACGAGCCACAAAAGAGGACTTGTTGTTTCCTTGGTGTATAAATAGCCCTTTCAGGGCCGCAGAGATGGCTCAGCCATAGGGAGCACTTCCATTCTAGCAAAGGCCCCAGGTTCCACAACCAGCACCCACATGGTGGCTCACAAGCACACACAAGGCACACATACATAACATACAAGCAGGCAAAACACTCATACACACAAAATAAGTAAACACAAATTTTAAAAAGAGCTCTTTCAAACCCAAGGCAACTGAAGCCAACCCAACATGTGAGCGATTAAGTGCACAGCAGATAAAATAAAATGCAGAAGAGACAGGAGCAGTTTAACTCCACTAGCAGTTGGAAACTATAAGGTTTGGGTATTTTACTTGGAAAGATTTTACTTTAAAAGCATGGCCTCTATCGGAAGAAACCATGAAATGACACATGTGTTTTTGCTTGCTGGGAATGTGAGCTAGCATGTTTTGGCATAAAATATATAAATTTTTTAATTTGTTTATTTTTTATTTTTCAAGTTTTCCTGTGTAGCCCTGGCTATCCTGGAACTCACTCTGTAGACCAGGATGGCCTCAAACTCACAGAGATCCCACTGCCTCTGCCACCCAAGTGCTGGGATTAAAGGTATGCACCACCACCACCTAGCATATTTTTAAATTTTTGTTTTTAAATTTTTATCTGGTAATTGCAACCATACCATGCATATGTGAAACAATTTCAATTATTATAGATATTTTGTTATGATAAATTTCAAACATATACAAAATTAAAGAGAATAGTATAATAGATGTTCACTGTCTCCCAGTGTTCACTGTTATCACCTCAGAAACAGTTCTATTTCTTTGGTACGGCAGCAAGACATCATGTTACTTCACCCTCAAAAAGACCCCTATAAGAAACTTAACTTGAGTATTATTACTGCAATAAAAATGAACAACGATTCCATGCCAGGTATGGTGGGGACACCTGCAACTCCAGCACTCATGATGCTGAGGCAGGAGAATTACTGCAAGTTCATGACCAGACAACATTTTAAAACAAAACAAAGTGACAACAACAAAAATGAAAGCAACAATTCCTTAATAGTAAATATCTCATTATTATATTTTTCCATAAATGATATTTTTAAAAACTACTTGTTTATTTTTAATCTTGTTTAATTAAGACTAATTAAATCTCCTTTGGGCTAGGGAGACGACTCACTGGGTAAGAGAACTTGCTCTGCAAGCAGAGGAACCTAAGTTTGAATCCCCAGCACCCACAAAGGAAGCCAGGCTATGTACCTGAAATCACAGCACTTGAGGGCAAAGACAAGTGGATCGGAACCCATAAGCCAGCCAGCCTGGTTGAAATGGCAAAACGTGGAGCTTCCAGTTCAGTGAGAGACCCTGTCTCAAGGCAATTAGAGAGTAAGGGGTAGAGGACAACATGCCTTGTCCTGCTCTGACCTCTGCATGCACTTGTACTAGGTGCTTAGGGCATGTGCACCCACATTCCCACAAATAACACACACACACACACACACACACACACACACACAGAGAGAGAGAGAGAGAGAGAGAGAGAGAGAGAGAGTTTAGAATTGTTAAAAAGAACCTATCTGAATACCCATCAGTAGAGAATTAGTTAAAATAAATGAATGACATGCTAGCTACACAATAGCACACTGTGTAGTTTAGTAGTTTATTCAAAAAAGAATGAAGGAATTCTATACATATTTCCACACAATATTTGCTAAATGAGAAAGGATGCCTGATTTTGCCATACGTAATTCACATGCTTATGTGACATCCTTGGAGTAGACACAGGTCGTGCAGTAAGGTAAAAGAGCTTCTCTAAACATATGGCAAGACAAACCAACTTGATGGACTATATGACTGAAAAGACATCTCACACCAAAGAAAACAAAGGCCATCACAAAATTGAAAAGCAAGCTTATAAACTAGAACAATCACAATAATATTGAGAGCAATGGGGTGAGTATAATACAGAATTTCCACGGACCAGTGAGGAAAGGAGTATTTGAAAATATGGTCACAAGGAAGAGTCAGCAACTGGCTGCAGAGGAGACACTCCTGGGCTCACGGGTGTGGGAAGACACCCAGCTTCACTAACAAAGAAGTGAAGTAAAATGCCAGCTGCTCCAGTCACTTGACACTGACAGTGTCTAAATGATCCACAATGTTTAGGATGAGGCAAAGGTGGGAATACGAATTACTAGACCACTTCTGCAGAATAATTTGACAATATCTATCGATATGTAAGCAGGCCAGGTGTGGTGGCTCTCATACACAACAGGGAAGTGGAGACAAAGAATTCAGTGTTCAAGACCAACTTTGGCTATGTAGTGAGTTCTAGACCAGCCTGGACTACATGTATATTCTGTCTCAAAACACCAAAACCAGGGGCCAACCAGATGGCTTAGCTGGTCAAAGTGCTATGCTGCCAAGGACCTGGGTTCCATCCCCTAGTTCCCATGGTAGAAAGTGCTGACTCCTATAAGGGACCTGACCTCCAAACACTCACACATACAGTAATGAATAAAAAATGTAAAAGAACTAAACCAGAGACTGGCGGGTTGGCTTAACAGTTAAGAGTACATACTACTCTCTTGTTTAGAGCATATTGCTCTTGCAAAGGACTAGAGTGTGATCCAGTTCACAACTGTCTGTAGCTGCCCGCTCCAGGGGATCCAACAGCCTCTTTTAGTATCATGTATACAACACACACACACACACACACACACACACACACACACACACACACACACACACACAATTAAAAGGGAGTATTATGTTTTGGTGAATTCCCTACTTGACAATTAAGTGAAATATTTTTAAAACCGAGTAAGCCTTTCAAACCATCAGTTTTGCTGCTAGGAATTTATTTCACTGAAACATTAAAAATTTGCACAAAGCCTGGGGCCTTTGGAGTTCATTTCACCGTATTTATACTAAATTAGACAAAGTACAGGTCCTTCTCAGGCTACACAATTATCTTACTGCGAAAGGACATAGGACTGGTGGAACTGCAAATGCCCACTGCAGTTTAAGATTTTTTTTTAAAATGTGAGTTTCAAAACAGCATAAGGAAATCGCCTGGAAGGGCACTAGGGCAGGTGGCTCCTGGCAGCCTTAGCTGCCACTGGTTTTGTTTTCCGATGAAGCTTATATTCTGGAATTAAGGCCCTCCATTGGCTAGTCCGATGATAGTGAGAGTGGCCGACCTAAGCTGGATCTTGGGGTGTGGGATCCTCCCCGAAAAAGGGCACCGTGCAAATATCAGGGTCCAGGTTCCTTGAGGTCAAACCGCCAGCGAAAGAGAGAATAGTTCCAGGTTGGCAGAGTGCAGATTTGTATAGTGGTTTTAGCAAGTTCGTTGGCAGAGTTGTTGTTTTGGTTTGTTTTCGTTTTCCTTTTGGTTTTTGATAGACTCCAAGACTGACCTGGAACGTGAGGCATTCTTCCTGTCTCTGCTTCCTAGTGTCGGCATTACCAACTGTTTGCCACCACTCTGGCAAATCAATTTAGGCTTGATTTTCTGGTGGAACCACTGTAGCCCTGCATTTCCCATGACGTTTCAAGAGACTCGTGATGCCTTTCCAGCCCTATGATCAGAACACACACACACACACACACACACACACACACACACACGCCTTAGTTTTTAGCAAGTCCCAAAGTTAGGAATTTTAAAAGTAAGGTTTCATCAACCTCATACTTGAACAGTTACATTGTGTGCTCCTGTCCATACGAACAATTTAGGTAGATCCGCTGGGGAGAGGTCACTAGTCGCCTTATGCTTAGGAGAGAGGTAGTAGTAACAAATGTTCTCTCATTTATTTGGCAAATATTCGAGTGCCTGCTGTGTGCTTGAGAAAGGAAAAATGGCGTGGGCTCGGCTGACATGGTGTACACCTCCCAGAGGCAGACGGACTGGGGAATCCCGCTCGCTCCTTGTTCTCCTGACACCTCCCCTTTCTGTCACAGAGAGTTCTAGGAGCCCAGTGTGTGTGGGGGGGGGCGGGGGGTTGCAGTTTGGCAGCAAATCTCTAGGTTGAGAAGTACCCCAGGCTTCAACCATTCAGGTACACAGGAGTGCACATTGGTGTCTGTGAACTAAGTCAAAAAGAAAGAAGGGCACAGCTCTGAGAGCAAACGGTTAGAGAGGGCACCGCCTCTTCGGGCTGACACTCAGTTTCAGGTCACAGCAAGGAAACCTGGACTTAATTGCGCCCACCCTTGGCCTTCGAGGTCAGATTCCCGCTGGTCACTGCACCTTCTCTGCAAAGTCTAGGCCGACGGAAAACTCAGGCATCTGCAGGTGGTGGAAGAGCCCTAACCTCCCTTTGGCCGGCCCTTTGGGATGCAAAGCAGGACAAGCCCGGCTCCTAGGCTACCCCAGGTCTCCCGGGAAGGGCTTGCTCCCCTCTGAGCCTTTCTCAGATCGGCTCCACGGTGCAGGACAAGGGCTTACACAGCCTCCGGATCCCTGGAGAACTAGGACAATTTCTCTCATATTAAACAAACAGGAAAGAAAAAATAACAACAAAAGCCCTTATAGGCTCCCCCTCTCCCCGCGTCGCTCCCGATTAAAATGTAATGGAAGAAATGTATCCGATCCAGAGAGAAATAGGAGGCAGAGGCAGTTGAGCAATGGCGTCCAGGACGTGATGATGCACAGATGCCCTTTCTAGCGGATGGTGCTGGAACCTTGAGGTGAGTTTTTAGAGCAGAGGCCTCCCTGAGCTTTT